TATAATTAATTTGAATGTTATTGTATACAGATAAATAAGAAGTTCTTTTATTGATATTCAACCTGAATACGTGTTGTACTCAATTCTCATTTTCGTCATTCAGTCATCAGGCTATCACCACTGCTGAGCAAAGGCCTCTTTCTCACATGGCGAAGGTTTGAGCATTAATCACCACGCTTGCTCAAGACGGGTTGGTGATTTCAAACTTATAATTGTGAAACTATAAGTCCAGGTTTCCTCACGATGTTTTCCTTCACCGTATGTCAGTGGTGTCTAAATAATCTCAGAAAGTACATATGACTCGGAAAAATCACATTGGTACTGGCCAGGTTTGAACCCGGGCCCTCGGCAACGAGAGGCGGACCCTTTAACCGTTAGGCCACCACTGACTTCTCATTTTAAATCAACATATTTTGTGGAGAATAAAAATTGAATAAAACTTTATATTTCAAAATAATATTTCAATCGTCATAGTCAACAGCCTATTAGAGCCCATTGCTGAGCAAAGGCTTCTTCTCACATAAGGGAGTTAGAAAATTTAAATACCATATTTTAAATACATATATTTTTGATAATGAACAAAAGTTATAATAAAGGGCGACTTTTATAGTTTGGTACATTCATTTTTATAATAATAAAGTTATTTCATTTAATAAATAGATACTTTTACAAAAAACTTTATGATATGACGACTAAAATCTGTATAGAATATTCAATTTATAGATTGAAATAAGGAAACAATTATATAATCCGAAAAGTAACAGATAGGATCAATCGAAATCTCGTCAAGTGCAAATATATGTATTTTGTATGAATTAGCAATTATATCTCTTTACGTGTAAGGTTTTCTATCGTATATAATGGTCATGAAATAGTTTAATAATGAAGTGCTGTGATAAGAAAACTTTATGATAATAAATACTTTATATTATAAGTTAAATGAATATTACAAGTTAAATGAATAAATGAAATAGAAATGATGCTTGTGATAACTGAATACTGTGTAATTAATAAACTTATGATATCAGGTCAATTGGTCCGTCGTCGTTATCAGTCTATTAGAGCCCACTGCTGAGCAAAGGCCTCTTTCTCACATGAAGAAGTTTTGAGCATTAATCGCCACGCTTGCTCAAGACGGGTTGGTAGTTTCAAACTTATAACTGTGAAATTATAAGTCCAGGTTTCTTCACGATGTTTTCCTTCACCGTCTGTCAGTGGTGTCTAAATACTCTTAGAAAGTACATATGACTCGGAAAAATAACATTGGTACTTACCAGGATCGAACCCGCGCCCTCGTTCACGAGAGGGGGGCCTTTTAACCACTAGCTACCTCTCTAAAAAGGTTCAGACAAAATTATTGCAAATATTTATTATCAAATATCATTTATTTGGGGGACTTTAATTTAATAGTATTTTGTGAAAAAAAAATTATATTACCAACCTGTAATCTTTATTTGCTACCTTATAAGAAAGTAATGGAATGAGAGATAATAAAAAAACTAGTATTAGAAATTGATGAAATAGACGTTTCCTAATATTTTACAGCGTTTTTTTTAAATATCCCATTTTTATTCCAAGAACGAAATCATTTCAGTAGACGAGATGAAATTTTCTCCTCCTTTCTATTATAATTAGCTTACTGTCATACAGTATGATAAATTTATATGCTGAGTTATATGAAAAATGTAAGTAAAATGGACAGTTTTGTAGGATCCAGCATAATAATTTCATTACCAATACAATTTGGACGACTGGTCAAACGAAGGACATACCTAAAACTTCATTGCGTTAAATACCCATGTTTTATATAATATTTGCAATTTAATTACACACGGCCGGTAATATAAAACTGCGTAATTATACCATTGTGGTAATTAAGTGTGGGTGTCAGGTGTTTGCCTGCGTATCTTTGTTTTCTTGGGTAAAAAAACTCTATCAGGAGATTTTTTTTTCAAACTAAACAGTTAACAATAATGAGTGTATGTTAAAAATGTTACGAATCGAATTCAGCCTTGGAATAAAACTTATTTGAAATCTCTAAAGGTAAAGTTTTAGACTGCCTATAATAATATTATGTTAATTTAAAAACTTTGCAACAGCTTAAAGGATTTAGAATACTTATGTTTTATGACATTGATATTTATAGCAGTGATAGTGACCTACTTGCATGGTTAAAAATTGAAAAGCCGACAATTTCAACTTATACTGACTCCAAGGAAGTTTTTAATGTGGAAGTTATTGAGTATTGTATGTATTCTACAAAATGAAACATATTTTTAAACATTAAAATATAATATTATACATATATTACTCTGTAAATATATTTTTATCCAAATGCTTCCATAAACCCCTAATTTGATCCAAATGCTTCCATAAATCCCAAATTTATTTTTATGATGATATGCGAAATATGTTGTTTTTGATGAATACCAGGAAATCAGGTGAAATTTATGAAAACACGAAAATATGTGTTTTAATTAATCACGTAACCAAAAATTTTGTCGATAATAGACTTTGTATTTTATCTAAATTGAATGGATTGTTTATTTTGTAAATTGTCAATATTTCATCATTAAAATGTATTGGGATTTCAAAATTGTTATCCTCATACATAACTGCTGTCGCGTTTATTTAAATCTGTCATTATTCTTCTTCTTCTGCTACCTGGCAATTTCCCAGCTTTAGCCAGGGTCTGCCTTACATGTTTGTTAATAGTTTTGGCTTATTGTTTTTACGACCGGCCGCCTGCCTGACATCGACCCTCTTTGGGAATGCTTTAATCAGTGACGTCTAAATACTCTTAGAAAGTACATATGACTCGGAAAAATCTTATTGGTACTTTTGCCAGGATCGAACCCACGCCCTCATGCATAAGAGTCGGGCCCTTTAACCACTAGGCCACCACTGATTTAACTTACATCATTCAAATTGCGAAATCTTGTAACTTATATTAAAATTTTATAGAAAAACCTTCAAAACTTTTAAATTATTTTAATACAACAAGAATTTGCTTCATTATCTGAGTTAATCATGCCTCTCGCCATAATGTAGGTAAAAACGCCTTGAATGGAGATTACCTTGTGTCAATATTGAGTTTATCCGATATTTATACTCGAAAGTATTTTAATATTGTTCATAACATTACTTCAACCGATTTGAAAGAACGAGATCTGAATTTCAGTATTTAAGAGCACTTACAAAATAAATATATGTAAAAATGGATGACTATAAACTTAAGATTTTTTTTTGTAGTAATTAGGACTTTTTAGTTAATATAGTAAATTTTGTTAAATATTTTATTTCATTTTTAAATAATTAGAATGTTACATGAACGCGTATGATAATATTGAGTAATTAATAAGTTATTTAAGTTTCAGTGTATTCTCTCAACCATGCTCAACAATATCGAAAAAATTTTTTTTCTTTATTCTAAATGAAACTAGTGAAAAAATTCCTTTTACTGTTGGACTCTAGAACTTGTGATGAAAATCTCAAAAGTTATTTTACTTACTATTTTAAAAGACATTTACTAGAAATTTAATCCCGACCAGTTACACTGTCCTGCATGAGTGCGATAGTCCAAATAGCATTTCTAACAGTTATTGTATTATACCAACCATTATTGTCTAAAGCTATCAGTCTGAGAGGCTAGACCACACTCTGCTAACATAGAATATCGTGATAGTAGGCTTCAAACAATATTATCTTTACTCCTCACTTATATTACCTATTAGTTTTTCCCTGAATGAAACTCCCTATATATAACTGTCTTTACATTCTATAGTTTCTTAATAAAAATACATCCTAAAGGTTTAGTAACATGTTATGTTTAATTTTTATTCTCCACCACATTCGAAGTTTTATAGTTATAAGTTTATATATCATAAAGACAACCACTTTTATTTAAACTACAATACTTTATGACATTTTTTTAGGTATATAATTCAAATAGCTTCAGTGTGTTCAAGTGTTTAGTACATTTTTTTATGAATCTTAATAATCTAGTTAACTAAATTATTCTATTCATTGACCACCTAAAAAATTTCACAAAATTTTAGAGAAATTTATTTGTCATTGAAATAATGAAAGAGACGCAAACGAATAAAAAAGGTGTCAGGAAATGTAAAACGAAACTCTGAGTTAAAAAAATAAGACTAAGAATAAATCGTTCTCAAAGGATAAAGATGTTCCAAGTCTAATGAGGGTCAAATAAAATTACCCATTAACCTCATGTCTTTGCTTCGTATTTCATAAATATGAGAAGGACGAGAAATTAATAGATATTCTATATTATTACCAGAAATTCTCGCCAGTTTTGCTTTACTGTGCTTAATATGAAAATTTGGGTTACGAAAATCTAAAGCACCTTATTCCAGCACTACTTGAACAAAGTTTCATTAACATTACTACTGTAATTTTTGGAGATTCAATATTCAAAATTTCAAATAATTTTTCAAGCAGTAATAGTATTATCGAATTTTGTAAATCTTTAATAGAGCTGAATTTAATACATGAAGCAGAGCTGCGAGTAAAGACCAGTAAATATTTGAAAAATCATTAAAGCAGCAGTCAATGAAACGAATTCTATAAAAGACTGGTATAAAAAATGTTAACAATGTATCCAATGAATTGTAATATCATTCTTCTCTTCAATTTTTATGAACATTTAATATATACATTTTTTACTATACACGGAAGAATATTAAAATATATGTTTCCGTTTTTTTATTTATTAATTAATTGTGTTAATTTAATGAAATCTATGTAGTATGTCAAATCCAGCTTACATAAGATTTTGTCACATGTTCTTGTACAATGTTTCAATAACTTAATTTCCTAGCAAATATTACGTGACACTCGAGTGTGATAAATATGAATATATAATATTATGTAATTAATTAATTAATTTCAAACCCTTACATGAGACTTCCTTTTTTCCAGATTCTATTGACAACAGAAAATGTAGTGTTATTTAAGAAGTGAAGTGAAGTGAAGTGATAATGTCTTACACAGTGGATTTTAACGACACAGTGGTGAGAGCATATGGCGAGGGATTTCCCTTATTGATGCCTCGTTGGGGATACGTCGTATCCGCTTTTGTTCTCTTCTTAATTGGCTTCTTCGGATTCTTCTTGAATCTCATGGTGATTCTCCTCATGTTCAAAGATCGACAGGTAAGATAACAAATATTTTAATTATGATAGAACACATGTCTTTATAAAATTCTTTTAATGTATAAAGCTTTTGTTCTTAGGTTCTATATGTATTACTCTTAAAAACATTAGTGAGATATTTGAAGTTTATATAATTAAGATGTTATAACTAATTCAGCTCTAATCTTTATAATGATAAAAAACTTTATCCGCGGATACAATAACCTTCAAGTTATTTATTATTTCATAAATCTCTGCAGCCATTCTGTGAAAACTTTCTAGAAATCTGAAAACTTTCACGCTGTAACAGATAATTCCAGACACTTGCCCACAATTTCGTTCACGAAAATTAATATTTGATATTATTATAACTTGACCGATTTCAATAATTTTGAATATTAGCAAAAACACAGACAGACAAACTTTTCTGTTTAGTATTTTCTTTTTAAAATACAACAATTTCTACTTTTTTATTACATTATTTCCAAAGTAAATCCGAATATTACTGGACGGTTTTTATACTATATATTTAGGAATAATGCATAAAAATAAGCAAATACCAAGGTCTTATAAAAGTTATAGCTTTATAGAAATTGCTTACTTATTTTATTGAAGCAAAAAATCAAAGAATTAAATCGACGTTTTTTAATGTAGCACTCTTTCCTCTTAACTACTCTACTTAGTGTGTTCTTGAATTGACTATTGTCAAAAGTAGATAAATTAATTAGTAAGTTTATTAAATTTTCCCTATATATTACTTAAAACTAAATGTAATATCATTTCATAATATGAAACGAGGTAACGTTAAAGTCTCAAATACGAAACTGTTATGCGGCGTCAATAGTTATACAACTTATTATACAATAATGCGATGTTATGTCAAATTTGTTGACATACTTCGTTCCTGACTTCTTCGTTCTTAGACTTGTAAGATGGATGATTTAGAAGACGATTATTTTAACATATAATGTACACAAAAGTTCTTCAACTGAAGACATCCTCATCTTAAAACACAAAACAAAAAATCATTTTCCTTTTTCTATTTTTAAGCTTCTTATTTTTAAGAAGTAATTTGCATAAGCGTTTTTAATGTTAATATAGTGATGCTAAAAATATATTTTTTATTTTTTTATATGTCTTCTAATCTATAAGATTATGACTAATGAGAATTAACTACGTTGGGTACGTTTGATCACCGTCTAGAGAATGGACACCCACAGGTGTCTTGCCGCATGAAATTACAATACTGCAATACGTGCCTCTGTTACTTTAGTTGCAGATTCACCTCGTGTCAATTCGCAGTTTTGTTTTCGAGCCCTTAATAAGGAAGCAAGTCAGGCACCAAAAAGTATTTTCTACACAAAGAATGCAAATAATATCGAAGTGTTATTTTTTCCAAACGCAGATGTGATCCATAGAAGATAGGCTTTGTAGCATGAATAATTCAAACATAATACAATTACACTTGAAACTATGAAATTTTTAAGGTCACACAAAATGAAAAATATTTTCTTTTCAACTCCGTCAATTTTAGGCTTACAAAATATTAGTTTTTATTCTATTCCTTACACATATTTTTATGATCAGTAACACCAATAAATATTTAAATGATTTAATAAACATAATCAAGCTAACTGGTACTGTATTTGTAATTTAGTTATATATATAAAATAAAATTATTTTGGATTGTTTGAATTTTTCGCTAAGAAAATACAAATTTATGATAAATAAGAAAAATCTTTGAGATGTCCTTTTTTGTATTACTAAAGTGCAATGAGATTTGTTTATTTGGGCCCAAAATGTAATGAGTTCAAAATTGATTTCAAAAATTATTATTTTTTTTGTATGAAATACCAAAAATCTGGATAAATTCTCAATCTACAAGCGGAGAAATATGCAAGTAACTGTTTTTATAAAGCAAGCGATTAACGATTAATTAAATAAAAAATATTATTCGATTATTTAACTACAAAATAAAAACTTCACTCCTAGTTTTAAACTTATAGTAACTTCATTTAAACTACGCCATATATGTCTACAATTCAATAAAAATAACTTTTAATAACGTGTATTAATATAATAATAATATAAATATTATTTTAAAACATCCTTTTCGATTATCGCTTCCATATCGATCGAAATCATTCAGTATATAGTCTACGGCAACATGACATTGACACTTAATAATTACTATGCCAGATGCATTGTTATCTGAGTCTCACTTGTTTCGTGTTTTCGATGCGTTTCGAGTGCTTTCCCCATCATTTTAATTTTTCAACTACCACTGCTTTGTTTTTTACGGACTTCGAACCCGCCTTACGTTTTACGACCCTTGCTTTCACATTGGACACCGACGATCGCCTGCACGTTTGACTTGGAATTGTTAATTTGGATTATTTCGCCGGCTTGTGGATTGGATATTACTGAAACGATGGATCGCTGTGTGAATTGTGGGATAGCAACTAGTAACTGCAATACATTACGTTGACGACCATTAAACGATGAAATAACTTTTATTAAAATTTTTTGTTTTATTTTATGACTTTTATCAGATAGTTTGTGTTGCTCGTAGTTTCATACTTGTTACCTATAAGTCTTTGAGTCTTTATTTCCTTGTGATGACTTATCAGATATTCTCTTCTAAATAAAATTATTATTTTTCACATAATTTTACGTATCTTCATCTAACTCTTAAAGATAACGCAATAAAACCTCACTTTTAATAAACCTCCAGCTTTCTGATTGTCTAACTCAGCTATCTGATTGTCAATTTCAATATAATTTTCAATTAAGAAACTCTTAATTTTGAAACTTTTAATTAATACTATTTTCATGTCTTTACATTGAGGGCCCAGAATTGTATGCAATACTTTCGATCTCCTTTAAACCTGTTCCTAAATTAAAACTAGTTTTCTTTTACAGCTATGGACACCTCTGAACATAATATTGTTCAACCTGGTGTGTTCAGACTTTTCCGTTTCCCTATTGGGAAATCCCTTGACCCTCATTTCCGCACTATTCCATCGTTGGATTTTCGGCCACACCATGTGTGTCATTTACGGGTTCTTCATGGCTTTACTTGGTAAGTTATTGCAGACATTACTAACACATATTAACAACATTTTTATACAGATACTGAAGTAATAGTAAATTAAATGTTCAAGATAAGCTTAATGAAATTACATAATATATACTTAGATGTAGTTTTTGAAACACAATTCTTTTGTTTTTTATTTTGCTCTACTAAAATTTTTAATTATTTATAAAGAAAGATATACTTAAACCGAGAAAGATAAAGCAAAATTTAAATGAGACGAGTAAGATCATAAAAGTTATGACAAACAAACTGTCAGCTTACTGACCACTTTATAAAGAAGGTCGAATAACAATTTAACTTTTGTCAGAACGTTTTAAAATAACATGAAAACATTTTGATTTGAAGTAGTGAAATAATTAATTATTTTTATACAAAACATTATGAAACCTCATCCAATAATATTATGACACTAAAATTGTGCATCGTACGGATCTCTTATAATATTTTTGATATTCAATAAAAGTGCAATATTATTGATATTCAAATATGTTAGGAGAATAAATCACACAAGTTTTTGGTATATCTAAATCTAACTCGTTATATTATATGTACACTCAAATTCTGTATTAAATACTATGCGTGTAATAGGTAATGAAATCAACACTTATTTTTGTTTGAACTCGGTTCATAATTATTTTCTGAAAAAATATTTTTGAATAATTATTAATTATGAGCACACCAAATGACGAGTGATGCTATAATCTCTTTTATGATTAATATTATTAAAACAGTTTACAGTTTCTTTGATACTAAACATTTGAATAGGCGTTATTTAAATAATTAAACTATATAGAAGAAGTAAAAGAGAGATTTGGGTAAAAGACCTTGTAATCTCTAGAAAAATCTATAGACGCTAATTAAAATATTAATAAAAAGTATTACACTGTATTGTTACAACATACTATGTATGTAGAACTATTAATAAGAAATATTATTTACCAAAGGTAGCATTTACCATATTAATATTACTTTCTAATTCCCAAGTATGATATTATATTTAACGATTTACCTTGCGTTTGTTCAATACATTCATTCCTTAAGTAATATTTGATTACCTATCACATATCACTCAGGGAATATTTTATGATCAATGAGGGAGAATTGATTTGAAAGGATTTGCTACATTCATTACTTGTAGCAATTTATGTCTGTCTAATATAAAGGTATGGCATTTTAAGTAAGTATATTGTAATGGAATTCAATAAGGCTATAAAAATATGATCAAAAATAATAACCTAAATTATAGAATATACAGAATATACAGGGAACATACATAATATATATAGAATATACAGGGTGACTGGTGAATTACTATCTATATTTGAGGACGTGATATTTGACGATCATATATGACAAAATAAAAATTAATATAACATAAATATTAATAAACTTCTAAGTAAAGTTAACCAAAAGTTATGTAATTAATTACGCATCATATGAACACCCTACAGATTAGGTATACACACACACTCACACAGACGCGGCGGCGGCGTAGTGTTGTATCAGCACGCCGCCGCACGCGTCCACACTCGGAACACCTGGAACGTGTACACACTTTATTTATTTATACGGAAATTTGGTCAAAAATTAAGTACCTATTTTTTTTACATAATTCGAATGAGAATCATGTACCGAGTATGCTCCTTAAATATTGATAGTAATTCACCAGTCACCCTGTATATGAAATGCACAAGAAACAATACTTTTAAACACGATATTATTCTTCACATCTTGTACATGCTATAATGCTGTCAAAAGTTTGTTGATAAAGATATTATTATTATTATGTATCTCAAATCTATTTGTACTTATTACATTTAGATATGATTTTCTTTTAAATAATCTTATTAAAATGACAATCTATTACTGTCCGATATCAAATTATCGTATTAAGTTAAAACATAATTGGGTTGAATACCTTAGTTGACCCAATTTATCATTCGCAAACAAATTATTAATAGAATTATTAGGTTAGTAGGTAGATAGTGTCAACAGTGGAATTATTTGTGTCGGGGTATTATTATTTCTTTATCCTGATTTACTTTTATATTATGAGATCTGAGATTTTCGTGTGTCATTTAAATGAAACTAATATTTGGCTGATATACTATATACGCGACTTATTTTTGATAAAACTACATACTCTCGACGTTTCTCCCGAGGTCAGACAGACACTGACATCTCTTCTGTCGTGATCACGGTATCTGTAAACTAACTGAAACGTAACATATCCGCAAAATATTACTTTTATATTGTAATAAAAAAAGTTATTCATATATTCTTAGTAACATTGTAATGCTGACTTAGTAAATCATGGATTTGACACAGAATAAATAAAATGTATGCAGAATTATTGTTCAAACTTTATAGACGTCTGTTAAGGACAAATATAAAATTATTTCTTTAATATAAAAATAAATGTTTAGCCTTTTAAAGTCTTATAGTTACACCAAACTTAGAAAAATCAATCAAGTTAAAATATTCAAACTACATTTTTGTAATTTATTAAAGTAACCTAAAATAATTAACAATATAAATCTAAATACTTGAAAAAGAAATTCAAGTATTTAATATTTTATATATTAATTTTACAATATGAAAAAATATACACAAATGTAGCTTATAAATCGTAGAAGAAACCTCGAAGGCTGCAATGAATTTTTATTTGTACTGTATCTTTCAGGTATCACATCTATTACAACGCTCACCGTGATATCGTTCGAGCGTTATCTTATGGTAACAAGACCTCTCAGCTCACGTCATCTTAGTTGTAAAGGGGCGACTGTATCGGTAGTATTCATCTGGCTTTACTCACTCGCTCTTACGACCCCGCCATTATTGGGCTGGGGGAATTATGTCAACGAGGCTGCAAATATCAGGTAAGAAACATTTAAACCACTTTAGCACTTAAAGTATTTTCATTCAGTTTAGTGATAACTGGACAATAATGTTCAGAGAAATCATATCATATCATACGTTTTGTGAAAAAATGTGCAACTGCAAGTTCATTTAAGTCGTATAATTTGGGGCCATTTATTACTTGAGTTGCAGGAAGGAAAATTAGTTTCTTCTATTTACACAAGCAACGTAACACCAGAAAAAATATTCTGTATAACAATTTCAAATTGATTAAATATTCCCCTTTGCCTTTTTTTACAAGAATACCTTTTCTTGCTTGCTATAAATAGAACGACTTAAAAGTTTTAAGCTTCACATTTAATAATAGTTACATTACTTCAGCATAAGCATACTTAGTAACACAATATAAACTTCGTTATCTCATTTAATCAAGAAGACTCGCGATAGAAAATTTGTCATAGATTAAATTTGTTTATAAAGTAAGTTAATAAATAAAACATTTTCAACCTTCAACTTCAAAATAATAGAAGAAATAATTTACTATAAAAATTAACATTTTACTTAAAGATAGAAAACAATTCAGAGAAACGTTTGTTGTTTTGAACAAAGTCAATTAATGTGTAACTTTTATTTATATGTTTTAATAATTAAATTTTAAATAGTAAAGATAATTATAAAATAATATACGATGGATGAACGGTTAATAAGATCATATATTTAATTGCTGGAGAAATAAGCCCATTTGTTAATTGTAAAATACATAAAAAAGAAAATAACAAGATTATACATTACTATCACATATGTACAATGTTTCCTCTTCATTTTCAAAGGATACATACGGTAAACTTTTACCAAATTTAAGTCTAAGTTTGTTAGTAACTGAATGAGAAAAAGGATACTTCGTTTGTAATATGGTGATTTCGATACCCGCTAAGCATACAGAATAGCTGTTAATTTTATGAAAAGGGTTCAAATAAATACTATGAAACCCTTCTAGGAAAATTACGTAAGAAATTCTGGTGTGGATAATATAAAACAATGTCTAGTTTTGAATGGATAAGAAAGTAAAGAAGTAAATTTACTTACATCCCAGTACTAAGTACAGCATTTTAACAAAAACTTTCTCCTAGTTCTAAGCTTTCACTGATTTATCAAAATGTTGAATTTACTATAACGAATTTCAATTATTATTAATTCCAGTGTAAGATATTTGGACGAACCCAATAAATTACTTCACACTGGTTATAAAAGTTGTAGATATAAATTTTATTGTTTCATAACTTGATTTATTCGGCAAATTAGAAATTGACCTTTAAATAAAAATCTTATAAACTTCTATATTACTAAAAACCTAACTTCAAACACAATATTGACAGTTACTTACGACCTATGGTATAGTTTTATTTGAAAGTTATATATTTACTATTAATATTCGGATACAATTTCCTTTTAACCATATTTATCTCAATTGGAAACAACAATGTAAGTCGCCAGCATAGTTAACATCCATCAGACTAACATATGCCGCCAATTGATTTGTCTTGTTCCAATGTGTTATCAGACGAAATCGTATAGAGAATGGGTAAGAACCCTTGTGATTTAACCTGAGTAAAATACTTCACAATTTTTGTTGTTACGTCTACTAATGAAGGATAGCGAGACTTGAAGAGTAACGCCACTATTTTCTCGAAGTCATTACGGGATCCAAGAGTAATCTAGCTGCCCGTGAAAGGCTGCTTCACATAGTAAATATAATAATCCCAATATAGATCCATCTTGCGTTTGGCAACCATATTCTTATTCGTATTGACCCAATGACAGTTTTGAGGAAGGATTCGATCATCCCCGTAGTCTACAAATTAAGCCCCCAATGGTACGTCAAGTCTAATTGTGTTATTCGTATATAAATTCAAGGCCTCGTGAAACTTCAATTCCTCAATTAAAACTATTCTCGTTATTCATTTTTAGGAAAGGTAAATATAAAAAAATCTTCACAACGGTTACACTTCCTCTCGCTCAAAATACACCTCATTAATATCTGTTATCTGCATTCAACCTGTTCTGAAATTTCTTGCCAATCCACCACCATCTAGCGACTAATAATAACCCGCATTGACTTTTGTTTGACGGAAATGCACATTTCAGGTCCTACAGATGCGGTGTCACTTGTCTACCTAGGTTCACTCTGCTTACTCTTTAAAATTCCTTTAATATTCATGATTTAATTGAACTTTACATTTTAAAAATAGATAACAGGTAAGTAATATTATTTTTCTGCATATAATAATCTTGGAAATTTATTCCGCCATCTTTGCAAGCAACTCAATAACGGTAAACGTATTGCGCAAATATTGACAAGGATGTTCGATTCCCGAAATCCCGTCCCTTCAACAGGCATTCGACATATAAAATTAATATCAATACTCAGTATTCCTGACATATTTTTGACAATATGCACAAAATTATTTTATTTTCACAAATATACTGTAATTTTTAATAGGCGTAATGAATATAAAAAAATTACATCAAAATAAATTCAACAATTTACAATAGGTTTGTTTCAGTTGATAAAATTGTCTCCTACTTTCTATAAAATTTTGTTAATGCTTTAATCAGAGAAATGCTTTATCCATATTTACAATCTGTCAATTTCTTCGTTTCTATTTATTTATTTATTTATTTATTTATTTATTAATGTACCAAACATAAAAAATAGTTACAATTCGAATATTATAAGAGAAATGTCATGTACAAAGGATAACTTATCTCTTAAAAGAGATCTCTACCAGAAACCCTTTTGATAGAGGAAATGAGAAGAGAAATGTGGCATAGGTACAATAAAATGAGAGAAGGAAAAAAGAAAAAAGAGGTATATAGATATATATAGAGGTATGTATATAAGAATACAAATCAAATTATAATAGTATAAAATACAGATATTATACATACATAGATATATACATAAATATATACAAATAAATACAATATATATATAAATATATAAACATACACATAAATATATATATAAGTACATAAACATTACATATTATATTAAGGTAAGAGTGATAGAAGATGTCTCTTAAGCCGATATTTAAAGGCAAATGTACTTGGACTCTCTTTGTAAATAGAAGGTGGGAGTGAGTTCCAAAGTTTTGAACCTTGGACGGAGAAGGATTTACGATAGAATTTAGTATTAAAGGAGGGGATATCAAGAGGATTTTGTGCAACACAGGAACGATTAGGAAGGATTCTGGGGGAGGAAAATTTAAAACGTTCGAGTAGGTACGGGGGAGAAGAATGTTTGAACACATTGTACATTAACGTTAAAACATGCATATTCCGGCGGAAGCGGATAGGGAGCCACTTTAATTTGCTGCGGAATTCAGAGATGTGGTCGTATTTACGCAAGCCGAAAATAAATCGGATGCACAAATTTTGAAGTCTATCCAGTTTATCGAGCAGCTCATCAGTGGCATCTAAGTAGCAAACATCACCGTAGTCGAGTAAGGAAAGGAGGAGAGATTGTGCTAGAATAATTTTAGTTTTAAAAGGAAGGAAGTTTTGCAGACGTTTAAGAGAATGAAGAGTAGAGTGAATTCTTCTACTTACCTCATTCACCTGAGCTGTCCACGACAGGTGACAATCCATTAATAGACCTAAGTTTTTAACCCGATCTAACAATGGAATTGTCACCCCATCGTACATTATACAGGGTAAAGTGTCAAAATTAATTTTTTTGTAGAGTTGCTTGCTTCCAATAATTATCGCCTGAGATTTATTAGGGTTCACTAGTAAACCGAAGTCATTTGCCCATCTGTGTATAGATATCAACTCCTCATTAACAGCCTCGATAGCTACCACAAGTGTAGATAGTGGAGTATGTCTATAAAGCTGCAAATCATCTGCGTTCCATTTTTCGTTTCCTTTAAACTTATAATATTTTTTATAAGACTATAAAAATACAAATCATGCCAAATTAAAGTATCGCGTGAACAAAGTTTATGATATAAAAAGTAAAGAAAATTACCCAATATTTTTCTATGGCATTAGCTGCGACCTACTTAACAAAATTTTCGTGCAGAAAAGTAAAAAGGAATAAAATTGATACGCACCAGTTACAAGAAAGTATTTATAACTACATACATTTTAGTTGTAGTTTTGTTGCTCTCCTTACTTCCAATTCTATAGTCACCAGTAGTAAAATATTCGCAAAAGAATGATTTATGTATTTATAGTTTGCTCTTAATAAGACACTCGTAGGCCTGAAACTAGGGCTTGTTAAAATATCTGCATTGTACTGAATTGTCCTAAAATACTTTGTAGAAAGTTTTCTAGCTAATTAAAAGATTGTATAAATTTAAAACGTATTGTTGTGATATTAAATTAAAAAAGAACTTATTCAAATTAAACGATATCTAAAATAAATCTGAGTTTCACTATTGGCAAAATCGTGTTTAGATTTCGTATATAATATTTTCTTTTTTTCTTCAGTATCATTTTTAACCAGAGTTTTGTATTTTTACTACTTTATTATGTAAATTATATTCGAGGTACTAAAAAGTTATAGTTATATTCGACTTCAATTTGCAATACGATGGAAATCATGTCTAAGATTAAGGTTTTTCGTATTCAATATATTGATTTTATTTTTGAAACCTAATACGATTATCATTGTAATAAAGGACAATATTGTAACTCTGATAGAAAGTACAATGATTGTATTATACGAGAAATGACGGTATTAAATTTTATTATCAAAGCTTTTATTATTTCTGATTTGAAAACTGCTTGTAAAATAAAATTCTCGAGAAAAGGGTTACTGATAGGGATAAAAATTCATATAATATCTTCATTCCAAGAGGTAAATAAAAAAGTAAAAAGTAGGAAATTTATAGCAGGGAAAAATTACGGATGTGCTATGTAAGAACTTCCGAAGATCGTTCCTAGAAGTGTCGCATACCTTTTTTGCTTTTAATAAATCTTTATCATCTTTAAAGATAAAAAATAAAAATATATTTCTCCAATCCACTGTGAAGAAAACATTATATTATAAAAGTTCTTAGAAATAAAAAGATTTTTATTATTGATTAAAAATTTCTAATCTTGCCGACTTTAGACGTGCCTTTTTACGAATTATAAAATAATTCCATAAGCACACAAAATAATCGTTCACTTATTAATTTTTTAACTATTTCTACATACGCCAAATAATTTTTTTTGGATTCTTTCCAAAACATGAACTCTGGTTTACGTCAGCTTATGGTGATTACAACAAAAAAAAAATCCTAACGCCCCTTTCATTGCCACTACAATTAATGCAAATGTTCATTCCATGTAAATTTTGTGATTATTAGCATCTTTACGGTCTTGATGTCTCTATTATGGGTCTGTAAATAAAACTTATCAGTGACACATTATTTTAAATATACTATTAATATAGACCAGGAACAAAATTTTCCATGGATGGTTTGTTGCTAGTAGATTATAAACTATCGTAGTTTTTGTATGACTAACCTTTTCTCGTATAATCCATAGTGCTGCTTAAAATATCGAAAGTAACGCAGAGGGTAAAACTTTAATCACAAGCAAAAAAAATTACCTATACGGGATGAACTCCGAAGTTTCAAAAACATTGAAGTCCAAAAAGCTGTAACTTAGCCTAGCTTAGCTTCGCTGTAACTATTCTTAATAAATAAAAACACCTTCCTGAAGTGCTTGTAGTTGAAAATATAAAGTCTGTACCTATGTAAGAATCATCCATTTGTCCCTATTTTTGTTTACTTAGTTTCGAAGATTGTAAAGATCTTTCTTAATATGTATTTCTTTATATTGATATTATTTTCTTTATATTTCCACAAATAGCTATAAAATCTAAACTCATACGTATTAGTTTGGTGTAACAATAAATTTGAGTGAATAAGGAACATCATGAAAGTACAATTTAATGAAATGTTATTACTTTGTGAATACGTGAAATATATATTTTAATTATATTTTTTAAATCCGCTTCCAAAAAAGGAATACAACATATTTTCAAATAATTGCAACTTATAATTAATCTAGGAGCAACGAATGAACTATATACATATAAATGGATTTAAAGTAAGATAAATTTTATATAGAAGGTATTTACAATATCTGATGATCAAAGCGTAACTAAAATATTTGAAACAAAATCAAGTGTCAATCATTGTTTTATCGTGTTGTATAAAACAACTATTAAAATAATTGAAAAAGAAAATCATACGTATAAAACAGATTTAAAAATATACATATATAGAAACGGAATGCTTCCACAATAAAGTATTTTTTTTTATTTGTAGTCAAGTTTTAACCTACATATTTACCTTTTGTTTAGCTGCTCAGTGAATTGGCACGAACAATCGAGGAATACTCTCACGTACATCTTATTCCTGTTCGCGATGGGACAGATTGTGCCGCTGGCCGTCATCACCTTCAGTTACGTCAACATTATCAGGACTATGAAGCGGGTAATTTAGTCATTATTATTATATCAAAGAAATTTAAAAACACTTATACATAGGATAATTTTAATAATAAATGTTAGAGTTGTAATATATGTTATATTTGTTATAATAAAATAAGTTTTAAAATCATACTTATTAATGCAGTTTTAATTTTGGTTGTACATTCCATATTCAATAAAGATCAGGTATAGATTTTGTTAAGTTTAGAAAATCACTCTAGCAATATTAATGATATTATTACATGATACTTACAATTTTACATTTTTCTATAATATTTTTTGGAGTTAATTTTTGGTTAATTGGATATGGTTTGCTTTTAAAGGAATTTGTTTATGTTTTAGTTTAAACCTACATATAATTTTATCATGCTCTTGGCAACGCTTCATCAAATTATCAGATTGCTAGAAATAGCACTATTCAAAATCTTGACGTAATTAGAGAACATGTGTATCTGTTATCTTAGATTCTATTAGCATCAACTAACAAACAAAGATCATTCATTTGTACATTTTAGTAAAAAAAAGTGAATAGAAATCGTATATAATGTATATTTCAGAATTCTCAACGCCTGGGTCGTGTTAGCCGAGCCGAGGCGCGAGCCACAGCCATGGTTTTTATAATGATTATATCATTTACCGTCGCCTGGACCCCATATTCACTGTTTGCACTGATGGAGCAGTTTGCAACCGAGGGAATTGTAAGCATAGATGCCATTCAAAAACCACATTATGACAAAAATAAAAGGCTTTCATGCTAGCGATCTAAAAAATAAATATATCTAAGCTTATTTAATACTAATTTAGAAATTATCTTTCAAATTTAAATGTACACACTTATTTATTTTCCTAAATAACATTTAAATTGACCTTGAATTCGAAGAACACTCAAGACCAAACAAAGTAATAATAAAATTCTGATATTTAAAATAGTTTTCAAAATAAAATTTAAAATTTCGTATTAATAACAATAATTAGTAACCAATTTTGTCATTAGCATACTTTCGCAGAAAATAGAATACATTTTTGAAATATTTTTATATAGTTCAATATTTTACAGGTATCACCGGGGGCGGGAGTTATACCAGCACTAGTAGCAAAAAGTTCAATTTGTTACGATCCTTTAATTTACGTTGGGATGAATACACAGGTATTTCATAACATCAAATATTTCACTACAACTTTTGTATTTAAAATATGTTATTAACAATAGAAAATGATTGTGAATTTTTTTATTACAGTTTCGAAAATCCATCAAAAGAATATTTGGAATACAGAAACGAAGAGGTTCTAGGATTGAAAAGTGCTATAATAACTCGATACTATCACCAACACATCGACGATCTGCGTACAATGATATTACCGTCCGTTATAATTCTTCTGACACAGTCATATCAACTCCGAAACGGTACTCAGATAAAAGGATTTTCAGTAGTGAAGATTCTGAAAGTCATATGGCATCTACAGTAACGAATGAATCAAGTCGCCCAACAGGAAAAGTATATGAATTGTGTACTATCCAAGAAAACAAGACCGCGTCGGACGCTGAGAGATCCGGAGATACTATTTGCGATGATGATAACACAAGTAATAAAAACCTAGAACTTGTATTTGGTGAATCTTGTAAAATATATAAAGATTCCACTAATGACAACGAACGAGTAACAGCTGATGCAGTGAAAAACAAAATTCATATTACTGAAAGTAAAAACATTTTAGATGAAACCGACCTGCATCTTATTGAAAGTAATTTAAATCAAAGTTCGAAAAGATCTAAAATAATAAGACACAGCTATTCACTGGATTTGGGTGGAGTTTCTAACGAAGGTACACGAAGAAAATTTTCTATTGAAACTAAACTAGAAACATTTAACCCTTCAAAATTATTCAGAAAAGATGGAGTAGTGAACAAACTCTTTGAATCTGATAATAGAGATAATGTTAGTTATATATGTACAATTGATAATAGCGAAAATCATGAGGAACATTTGTCATCTAAATAAAAAGTATTACGTTAAGTTTCTACATATATGTATTTAAGTAAAATGTGGATCATATTGAATTAAATTCTATTATATTATTAATATAAATGTAAATATCATGAAGGAAAATTCTCGTCAAGGATCTGTGATAAAGATAACAGTGCCAAAGATAGGTCTAAAAATTATATTTGGGAACGCTAGGTGAAGTTAAATTAAATGGAAACGAATTACTAGGTAAGATAGAATTAATTGAAAAAGTATCTTCAACGTATAATGTCAATACTAAAAGTATTTACGCACTACTTAGCATATCTTTTGGGTAATACTTTTTCTCATATGATGGTCTATTTATGTATTTAGTTTTTTTTTTTTATGAAAAGAAAATTATCAACTTTATGTATATGTAGTTTAAGAGACGTGACCTGGTCAATTTTACGTAAAAGTAATTCTATTGGTAAATAAGAAATAAAAAGAAAATGTCTTTATAAAACTGACCATTTTTAAACTAAATTTTGCTTATATATTATACTTAAGACTTCTAAAAAGTATCTGACCTTGTATTAATTTTTACTATGCTTTAGTATATTTTAGAACAATTTCATATTATTCCAGTGTCATTCGATCGAATTCGTTATATTCATTAAAGTTTTCTATACTCCAATGTTAAGGAGATAGCTTGTATAACTGCGAATTGTGCAAAGAGATGAATCTCTTAATTTAAATTGATAAGTCGAAAATAATATTTACTTATTTCTCTCGTCTAATATTTCTTGTCTCTAAAAGTAAAAATGGCATTTTTTATTGTAAAAATTGTTAAGTGTTACTCTTATTTCAATTATGAATGTTCGTATCTTTCATTATGATGACAAGGAAAAAAATATACTTCCTAAACGTTATACGTTAGGATTTAGGGAATGAATTTGTCATGTCAAATTAAGAACAATTTTTTTAAATATAATTGTTACAAATATACTTGACATCTTCCTCCATGAACTATTAGCATCAAGATGAATTATTTACTCTGACCAATATATTCAAAAATATCGTTACTATTGAATAATGAAAATGAACTGATTAAAATTGGACTTTCCTGATAGCCTAGCTTACCTGTTATATGGTTTTTCCCGGAAATCGGGTAGGTCCCTGTAGAAATGAAACCCTCATGGCATCAGAAATTCCTTTTATGGCTTGAATCTCTAGAGAGATAAATCTTACCATCAAGACACATCATTGGCTATCTTTTATTTAAAAAATGTTTGAAATAAAAAGCACAACGACGTTGAAAATTTTCAGAAGTATAATAGAATAAACTTGAATGTTTTAAGAAAAATATTTTAAGGTCTCAGAGAATCAAAAATAAATATTAAAATAAGACGCTTCTATACCATTTATATCTCATCGTTAATATATACAAATATCTAGTTATATAACGTTGTACTTTTGCTATGTTTATAGCTTTGTTAAAATAAAATTATTATTAATGTAGGATAAACAAAATTTACATTTCTATGAACTATTGTTAAACTAAACATATTATTACTTGTAACCACGAGTAAGAGAACTTCGTAAATAAAATTTAATATTTAGGTGTCACCAACTGATACAATAATTATATTTTTATAAATGTAAACACCAATCATATAAAATATTTCTAACTTATAATAGATAATTTGTATTATATTATGTCATATTTATAATTATTTAATATATAGATATTTTTTGTAATTCATAATAAATGTTACATTCGAAAATCAATATATTTTTTATATAAAAACCCTAACCTTATAAATAATAATTAATGATATTTATTAATAGTGAACATTTTTCAAATTAATTGAATTTTAAGTTTAAAATAGTACAATGGTCATATTAATGCACATTTTATTTGTATTGAAATGCTGCGTTAAATGGAATTTTGTAAGAGTAGGCACAAAAAGTCGACTGTTGAAATACGGATATTAAATTAATTCTGGAAAATCTCCCTTTAAGCTTTCGCCAGAATTTCACTCATAGTTTGTATCCAAACTTCAAAGCTTTGTCGGATTGTGTCACGAACACAATATTATACACAGTATATAATATTAATTTAACTGAATTTACGTTTTTTATTTTAATGTTTTATAAATTAAAATAAATTTTAAGTGATAAATACTAAGCCTTTTTGTACGCACATATATGTATATGCATATACATATACAATAAAATTATTGTTTTAAAACATATCATTTACTTTAATAGTAACAAAATCGAAGAATAAATAAGATAAAGAAAATCAAGTATTTCTAAAAGTGATCAAACTTTATAAAAGATTAAGGCCACAATCCAGTTCAATCGACAATATATACTAAATTGACTTTCGAAATTCCTGGCTTTCATAGCTACACTTCGTGTAACAGAAATCACTATAATGTAGGACCATGATTTTTTTAAAAAAAGATTTATCTTTTACAATTTCAAAAGTTTAAACCTACAAACAGTTTTATTTCTTTTTTTTTTACTCCACTTAAATGTAACTAATATTTTTAGAATAAAATACTCATAGTATGTAATCCGAAAAAATTAGTTTCATTTAAATGAATACTCCTGAAAGTCTTATATTTATTTACTTCACTTAGTTCGTAAACTTATATTCACTTTTAAGAGTGTAGATTTATTAACAATAGTAAAGTAAAAAAGATATACGATTCGGGTGTGATTTAGTTCTGGCTATCTAATTTAAGATAAAACGAATAAAACCGTAATTTATTATTAATTATATCTATGTCAATATTCTAATAATAGTACTATAAAACCACATGTATAGAAAATATCGAATTAAATATTAAAGATCTTCTGTTAAAATAAAGTAAAATATTAGGATTCCTTTTAAATTTTCGTTTTTTTATCCACAAGTCTTTGTTTATATATCGAGTCAATGTTTAGTTTGAGACTCAAACTCATATTGACGTTATATAAGATGTGTTTGAAAATGCAGATGCTTTAAATTTCATATGACCATCTTAAAAACACCTTGACATTAAAAATGTCGAAGATATAAAATAATTCACCCTCTTCATACTATTACGTCAATAATATATACAGTTAGGAAACTCCTTGGTCAAGAAACAAAATAGAAGCCGAGTTAGGAACTCCTTGGAAAAGAAACAAAATAGAAGCAGTGCGCAAAAAGAAACATCGGCACTTTCTGGTGGTCCGTCGTCGAGGCAACATCGCTCATGGGTTTTCGACTATTAATATTGGTTTAGCAATTAGTCTAAGGCTATTTTAAGGATATTACTCTGTAAGTACTTTAATTGTTGTTTAACTGGAGTTAGCAGGTTATCATTTCATTCCTTTATTTACCTTTTATATTTGTTCATTTTAATTAATATCGCATAGTCAAATTGTCAAATATCTTACTGTTATTTTATTTTTAAAAATCCGAACGAAGTTCCTTAATTCAGAAGTGGGATAAAGATCTCTTTTTTATAAATTCTTTGGTCCACCGTATTTTGTTTTCTTTTTGACAATTATGTCTAATAAAATGAATCGTAATCGATCTAAATTAGAAAAAGATTACGCCATGTGAAAAATAGATTGATATCTAGCCCACATAGATACCCTAGGGTGTCCATAGCACGAGTACGTTGTCGTAGATCGAGAAACGAGTCGAGCAGCAGTAAATTTTCTCAACACGCACCCGCATCATACTTACTTGTAAGTGATTCATTGAATGATAATTTGAATAACATTTTAGTAAGACTCAAAGCTGTCGATCAGTTTAATAATAGTGTCGTAGAGTTACAACATAATTATCAGGAAATGTTGCTGAACGGTCGTAAGAAATGTGTCTATAGGTCACAATCACATAGTTAATAGTGGCAACGAATCACCAAACGTAAATAGTTTAGTTAACTTGAGCGATGTCTCTCAGACTACGACTCACGATCAAGCTACCACTGTTCGCTATCCCGATACTATGTCAGTTTCGTATTTTACCATTATGACAGAAGCCCTTAAGAATCTCGCACTCATAAAATCGCTTCATTATTACGTGTCAATTTTTGATTTTTCTGATTGATTTATTGTGTCTAGAGGTAGATCGCGCAATGATAGTGGACAGTGGAAGATCATGAGTGTTTTTCCCGGGAAGCATCTTATTTAAAAGTCGACGCCAAAACATAACTAAATTCATAGGTCACAAATGGTCGTACATGGATATTTTTAAAACTCATTTAAGACCTCTCTGTTCTCAGAAGTTGGACTCCGCTAACATTTCCTTTGCATGTTTGAACACGACATACAACTAATATACGACATACGCTGGGAATGTGAGACGTACATTATAACGTTTACGATTGGTTAAAGATTTATCTGCAGAACTTGGAATTGTAATAATAAACAAACCAACATTAACAACTTTCAGAATAAAATGATAATCCCGCTGCTAAGTCGTCTTAATACGCGCATTTATTAAAACTACAGGAAACTGTGAAGACGCATGTTTTGTCAAGAATAGGTGAGGATTAACTAACTACCAAAATGTAAACATATGTTAACCGAAGCTGGTGAGAAATATCGATGTGGTTCGTGCAGTTGATAGTGCATACCGATTAACATATTTATCAATATTGGTGATCACATCATATCACTGATTTCTTCTGACCTTATTAAATTACTTTCTTGCCAATCCAAATATACGATGTACATTACGAGACGTTAATGAATACGAAACCTTTGCCACTCCTCACAACACAGTAACTATTGAATTCAGCAATATTTCATTTTAAGATCTAGTAGTAGTACCGTCAGCCTGCATGAATAGCGACAGATGTTTTGAATCGTGTTGGAGTAATGTATGTAAGAGTAACAACAACAGTATATCACTCGCTGGGATCAGTCAGGTTAATCAAGTACTAGCCACCAAAAACTCTTTATATAAAATCCCTCTGCCAGGTAGTAATCTGGAATTACCAATGTTTGTATTGTCGCCTTTCTCGGATTTTCTTGTGTACCGCTGCCACTACAGTACAGCATAGGTG